TGATACATGCTAGATATCTCGCACTATGGCTGGGTGGCGTCCGCAGGCTGGGCTGGGGTTGATATTGATGAATTCCCTTCCCTCAAGGCCTGGGAAGAGCGCATGACATCCCGACCTGGTGTTGAAAAGGGTCGTCATGTCCCGGACCCTCACACGATCAAAGAGCTCCTTGCAGACAAGAACAAGATGGAGGAGTACGCTGCCAAGAGCCGCAAATGGATTCAGGGCGGCATGAAGCAGGATGCCGAGAAGCAAAAGTAAGTTATTTTTGCATATTCCAAATGACGACAGACGACGTCTCGTCATAGGGAAGGTCCTTGGGCATGAGGGTGCTTCATGTGAGAGGGGAGCGGACAAGCAACCTTGAAACCCTTGATCTGTAGCCAATCGCATCCGAGGATTCTGGGTGCTTGACCAATCGGATCAAGTCAAATTAGAGTCTACCTAGTAGCGCACCAGAACCCGAATCCGAACTTTGTTACAATCGTCCTAGACGGCGCACACTTTCACGCCAACTAACACCCTCAAGTTCCAGACTATAAACAACATTGCGCCACCATCGCATCACTGCAGGTACCATCTACGAAACGCCAAACAAGTCAGGGTTGACCTGCACCATTTCCACTGCTCGTTCGTGAATATGACCCACTTGGAACTTTTACATCTTGGCATTTTCTCGCGTGAGCTCGGGTGAGTTTCAAGACCATTCATCATTTTACTTAGTCACAGAACGACACCATAACTCTAAGCCTAAAAGGTAAAGTCTATGCGGCCTGCCAAGAATGTCAACAAAGTAGGGAATATCCAGGTTTACAAGCTTGGTTGCGTAATACTCAGTCATCAGGGGTGTAACTTAACAAATGATGGATGGAAAGTGGCGGGCTCATCACGGTTGACGGGACATTACACTAGTACAATACTAGTGTCTGTTCGCGAGGTCAGGCCCGTTGATCCCGTATAACACCGCGAACGCTCCGATTGCTGTCAAGTTGCACATTTGTTTGTCTGAAACGTTCGAGAAGGGTGTCCCAAGACTTTGTTGGAGCCCGGGAAACTGCCCGTACGGTGTCGGAGCTGAGGAACGCTTGCTTGCTCGCGATCGCAGAGCTGGGTAGCCTAGTGTCAAGCCGGCTGTCCCCAGAGTACGCTACCACCAAGTGCCGATGCAGCTGCACTCAGATACTTGAAAAACAAAAGGACCTAATGGCAGCTTGTGTGCTAACGCTCACCGTCAGTCTGGGCCCAACAGACAGATCTAGTGTCTGTTAATTGCCAGAGGGACCAAGCGTTTGTGACAGTGTCTGCCACGCGCATGGGCTGGTGCCTACCGCTCAGGTGGCTGGCAAGATCCGGACGGCATCGCCTGTTGCCGTGACGGTGGCCATGCGGTGACACCCGCTCGAAACTTGGAAACTCAGCCATGGACTCAGCCATCAAGCGAGGGATCAGAAATTGCCTCAGAAAGAACGCGCGCCTAGGCATGGTTGAATCTTACTCGTCTCAAAGACATCAGAGCTTCCTGTGTGCCGGGAGCATCAGCTCACCCGGCCTATCCGTGAATGGAAGGACATAACCACGGGTACGGAACACGTCGCCTCCCGGTATCATTCCACAGGGGCTCGAAGAAGGATCAGTCGTGTTCCCAGAGCAAGTGCGAGGGCTGCTGACTGGTTTGATGAAGGGCGAACACGCAGTGTTTATCACTTCAGGGGAGCATGTACATCGCCCCGGGTTTGTGCAGAGCACCTGCATCTCACCCATAGTGGTGCCTGCACCTGTATCAGCAGGACGGACTATTTTGAGCCACCAACAGGCGTCGCCCCTTTCATCAGTTATTCCTCCATGCAGCATGCGTCAGACTTGCGTCCCGCAACACCATTAGTCCCTTCCCCAGTCTGATACTCTCCCCGCATTATTGCTCGATCAGCTGCAGGCTGCATGATCGCACGCTGCTCTGCGACGGCGGCAACGACGGTTAGGCTCGCTAGAATGAGCCGGTTAAGCCTCAAGGGTCTGAGGAAGCCTGATGCCCCAGCTGTGAGGTTTCGAGCCGTAGCTGTTATACTACGGCTATTTCGCCTCTGCCATAGCCGACGCGGTAGGCGGCGCCCCCGCAGAGCTGTCACGGATCGATCTCAACGGTGAACATCGCACCTCCTAGAGTATAGTCGAGCGAAGCGGGTCATAAGATTTACAGGGCAGACAAGCATCGTCTTTGCGAAGCGGGTGGACCGTCCGTTCAGCCGACGCTGTCAGTTCCCCAGGTTTGGTGTAGGCCACGTTCCCGGCTTCACTGGTTGGAAAATCTGGGGTACATGACAGAGGCAGGTCCTGCTGCATGCCATAGTACCTAACTAGCGAGTCTGAGTTCCAGCTCATATTGCTCAGGAGTATATAGTCTGGGGATGGTCATAGTGAACTCAACTGCGCTTGATCACGAGTGTCCTGGTGTTGAATCCTTGATCTAGCAGTAAGTACAGTATGCACTGAACACGCCTCCCGCCCATATTGAACAACCTCTGTGTGTGGCTGGAATAATGTCGTTCCATATTACAGGAAAGGAGCAAAAATCCAGCAAATACGTGCGGGGATCCGATCTGTGAGTGGTGAATAAGCCAGGGCGAGTGAAGCGTCGCAAGCTGGCAACAAGCCTTGAGGCCTCGAACTGTCGAACTGCATGAGCAGACGCAGTCGCCAAACTGCAATCCAAACCCATCTTTTGTGGGGAAACATGGCTTTCAATAGATTATGATCCGGACAATTGCGTTCATGAGTATAATGTGAGTGGGATCCTGCATCAGCTTGACTCTTACAGAGATAGGAAGGCCAAAGCTGTATGGTCACACGTCTCGGGGCTTGACACAAAGAGGATGAGCTTTGGCGCCTGTCTGCAGGCGAGAGGACCCAGAAGGCACAGATTGGTCATCTTGTCGAAGCCAGAGTGAAGGGGTCCTGCCCTTATGCATGTTCATTGTGCGGGCCCTCGCACTGGAACTTGCAGATGTATTGCGGGCCCCCCTCGTGGTCGCAACGCGCAGCCTCTCAGAATGAAGCAATCTTACTGTCTACCTGTAGGGCCGGAGAAGTCAACACTTCAGTGGTGGTGCAGCATCTAGTATTCTGCGAGGCTGCAAGCTAGTTCAACGGCCCGGCAGGCGCTGCCCTCGTCTTGGTGTGGATCAAACTCTCAGTATGTGACGACAAAATTGGACAGAATTATGAAGATCGTTGGCACGGAGCCAGGGAGCAGTGCCATCCCTTTCCATCGGCCAACGGTTTCAGCTGAGGAGAGTTTTGTTCAACGGATGGCGCCCACGTGGGTCTGAAGACCCAGCTGCAAGATTCTGACGAACTGGTCAAGACACCCGAGGAGGCTTCCAAGTTTGAGTCTTCGAGAACTTGCCGTGTAGCGCGTACCTGAGATAAGCGCAGGATGCCTGGATAGTCTCCGTTCGATGAAGTTATAAGCGGATCCAATGTTGGACTTTTGGTTCCAGATCTATTACGGCCAGATCGTTAGTCGTTGGACCGTTCACGTTGTTGGTGTGCTGGCAGAAGGATTATACGGCCAGTTCGCGGTGTTCCGCATATAGACGAAAAACGGTGACGTTGGGCCGACCACATATCGGAGGTGGGTTTGCAGGCACTACAACGTCGCTTAGAGGCCCTAGGACTGCTCGGCTTCTCCTGCATGGCGGGGACCGCGAAGCCACATAACAAAGTTTGGCCAAAATCCACCGACACACCTAGCTCACGCTTCAACCAACGTAGCTGTCGCGGTGTGCGCTCGAATACTCGTGTTAGCAGCCCGGCGACGCTCAGTACTAATGACTCCTTTGTGGATACTGAAATATAAGCTTGTCCGCGGGTCGAGACTCACGCACGCTCCTTCAAGGGAGTGGGACCGGGTGTGGATATCATTGGGCGTAGCGCAAAGGTCGTGCCATGCCTTCACGAGAAGATCGTTGTCGGTATCAGGTATCGGGTTTCAGATGCCATGGCAGCGTGCATATTTTTGACGTTCTGACGTCTGGTCCTTGACGGGCAAGGGCACGCCAATGATGTCCAAGTACCATGAAACGGGACGGAAGCCGTTTCAGCAGATGAGGGCATTCCAAACCAGCAGCGCTCCCAATGTGGCGCGCCAAATATCGGCGAAGGGGGGCTATAGCGGGCGCGTTAAGATGATACCTCCGACACGCATGTTGCGCAAGAGCTTCGGGGTCTTATTCATGGTCAGGCGCTACAAGCCACAACCTGGAGAAAGTGCCAGGAGGTATTGGTAGTCGGCGCAGGCAAGGATTGGCGGGAAGCTGACGTGCGGTGTGAACTTCGAAGAAGCGGGGCTCTCTGCGGTTCGCTCCTAGCGCCGACGCTGCGCAGCACATCTCCCACCGGCTAATTTGTATTTAGCCATGCTCGAATCATGCGGTAGGATTTTCTGACCCTTGCTACGGTCCCCTGCTACGGTGTTCCTGACCCTTGCCACGTCTTGCCCCAGAGCCTGGTTGCCGTAGCCAATGGGTCGTAGCTTTCATACATCCATGAATGCTCGAATTAAACATTGCGTCTTCTGATATTGCTCTCCAGTTGATCTCGCTTCTCGAAGCCCGCGTGGACGCATGGAATCTTCAAGCCACAGATCGTCACACTGACCCTTGGAATCGTCTTTGCAGCTTAGGACATTTCACAGTCGGGGTGTATCCTCGGCACCCAAAGCTTTGTCGGAGGCCCACATATGCTCCCCAAGTATCGCATGACCCGTGGTCGTCCCCAGATTTCCGGCAACCGACTCCTTCGTCCTCAAGTACTCCCGCGACGTCACCCGCGTGCACAAACTGCCGTTCCCTCGCAAATCGCTGCTCTCGAATTGAGTCGCCACATTGGAACAAAGTAGTACGTCGGCCGTGTTTGGTGGGGGCCGTCTGATGCTGATCTTATGTAGGGACAACGGCGGCCGGTTGAAGTCATAGTCGTCATCCCAACTCACAGACGCAACCATGGAGACCACAACAGCAGAGACACCCAAGCTTGAACGTCGTGGCTCGGCACCCGTGAAGCGAAGAGTGAGCCGAGCATGCGATCATTGCCATCGAATGAGAACAAGATGCAACGGCCAAGCTCCGTGTTCGCGCTGCATAGAGCTTGAGTACGTCTGCCAGTACAACCGCGAAAAGAAACGACGCGGAAAAGTAAGCACCTCCAACGATCAACAGCCTTGTCCCTCAACGTGAAGCACTCGGTATTGCGTGTACATCGCGCATTTGAAGTGCATCGAGTAGCTAACGAGTCGCAGGTCCCGAGGCACATCCAGAAGCAGCGAGAAGAGGCAGCTGCCAGTGGTAGTCCGCAAACCCCCAATGGAATTTCGAGCTATTACGAGAGGCCCGGCGTAATGGCAGAGATGGACGAAGATGTTTGGTCGCAGTCTGAAGCAACACCAGTTGTACAACATTTCCCAGCCGGCAAAGGTGGTCTGCCTGCAGGTGACTGGCAAGCTCTGAACCCTGGCACGACATTCGATCCACCTGTCAACCACATGATGATCGACCCATTGCTTCTTGGTTCTGGTGCTGCGTACCCGGCAATGCATGCCGAGATGCCTCGCGAGGAGCTGATGTACGCCATGAACGGTACGTACGATGGCCGAGCTCGGAGTGCTTCACAAAACTCCCAGTCTGTGTACATGTCTCGTTTGTCTCGTATGTTACTCGAAACCCTCCCAGCGTATCTGCGATACGTGGTATATTAGCAGCGCCGCTGACAGTCACAGGCATGCACCTTATTCCTGGTCCTAATGGTACACCGGTTTCGATCCCTCCTGAGTACGCCAACATGACGTATCCAATGCAGTACCAAGCAACAGGAAGGCAATCGTCTCCACACAGCTATGGTTCTGTAGACACCGGATCACCGCAGTCTGGAGTGAGCGCGAACTCCTCCCAGAACGGCGCCGCCATCGCCGCTTGCAGATACCCTGTTTTGGGGCCACTACTACCCCACCTTGGACCGATACTCAATGTCACCACCGCATGCGATCTCCTCGAATTTTACTTTCAAAGTTCATCGTCGGTATTCATGGAACCGGTCTCGCCGTACATTCTCGGATCCGTTTTCAGGAAGCGAAGTTTCCTCCGACAACACAAGCCCAGGAAATGCAGCCCCGCTCTGTTATCAAGCATGCTATGGGTCGCTGCCCAGACGAGTGAAGCGAGCTATCTGACATCTTCGCCGTCAGCCAGAGCTATCATCAGCCAAAAGCTGTGGAAGCTCACAGTAGATCTGCTCAAGCCTCTTGTCCACTCTCCATCTTCTCACGGTTTCGCTCCTGGACCTGGCTTGACATCTGCCGCACACGACGCTTTCGGGGTTGACCGAGCTATAGGACGATACGATGGAAGACCCGACGGAGCAATGCCACCCACCAGCACCCTGGATGATGTCGCTACGTACATCAACCTCGGAGTCGTGACGTCCGCGAGCGAATACAAAGCGGCTTCTTTGCGGTGGTGGAACGCGGCATGGTCGCTGGCTCGAGAACTAAAATTAGGGCGAGAACTGCCACAAGGACCCGTGAAAGAGCGAGAGACAGCTGCAACAGAGAAGGAGATTGAGGCGGGTATGCCAGAAGGCGCCAGCGCGCAGGCACCCGTGGGCACACCATCCGCAGCAATCGTGGAAGAGATGAAGGAAGAAAGGCGCCGACTGTGGTGGTTGCTGTACATGGTTGACCGGCACCTTGGCCTCTGCTACAACCGACCGTTGGCGATGCTCGACAACGAATGCGAGGACTTGTTCCAGCCGGTTCCTGACACCCTCTGGCAGGCGGGCGAGTTCTACACTGGCCACCCTGGGTCACGGAAACGGGGACTCAATTTTGAGTGCACATCGTACGTATGCACCGCGGCCGAAAGATGCTCTAGCCGGAGTTTCTTTGGCACACGACGATGAGTCTGAACACGAGGCTAACTTTTACAGGCATGACATTTTCGGTTTCTTCCTGCCCTTAATGACGATTCTCGGAGACATTGTAGATCTGAATGCACAGAAGAACCATCCAAGATTTGGTCAACGGACATCCTGGGAGCTCCACGAGGCAGAAATCACCCGCCAGTTAGAACGGTACGCGTACAGCATCGAGGACTTCAAGGCACAACATGGCTGCGGCTCGAATGAGGAAGCGCAGGCCAACAGCACCCCAGACCCAGTTCGGAGTGAGTGGATGCATCAGACGAGGAAAGTCGCGGCATATGCCACCCACATCATGCACGTGTTGCATATCCTGTTACACGGCAAATGGGATCCGGTGGCACTATTAGAGGACGACAACATGTGGATTTGCTCACAGTCCTTCCTTGCGGCGACTTCCAACGCGATATCCGCTGCACATGCGGTAGAAGTCATACTGGACGTTGATCCAGATCTGTCGTTTATGCCTTACTTGTTCGGCATGTATCTCCTGCAAGGAAGTCTGATCCTGCTCCTTCTAGCGGACAAGCTATCGACCGAGACCAATGACGGAGTTATTCGAGCGTGCGAAACCATTGTCCGGGCACACGAGGCGGCAGTTGTGACTCTCAACACCGAGTATCAGGTAAGCCGCATCACTCTGGTCTCTGGATGTGACAGCGCTAACGAGACACAGAGAAACTTCCGCAAAGTGATGATCTCGACATTAGCGCAAATAAAAGGCCACGGCCACGCCAGAGAGATGACGGCTGCGAAGCGGCGGGAAGTCCTATCCTTGTATCGCTGGACAAGTTTAGGAAACGGATTGGCCATATAAGTGAGCCGCAAATCATTCGAAGCAAGTTTGTGGGATTCGGCGTCTGGAGCGACTCGGACAAGCCTGCGGGCTGGATACCTGGCTGGAGCGTTGTACAACTATAATCTCTTTTTCGACGCGTGGTTATGAAGACACGTAAGCAGGCGCATGCGATCAGCTGCATGCAGCTGTGGATGGCGCTTTTTGAGCGATTAGCTGTGCTGCAATCAGGCCAGCGAACTGTAGATATTTTCCAAAGTGCCAATGTACACTCTACAGCTGTTAAGCTGGGGACGCACGTATGTGCCGTGTCACATTCACATGGCCAGAATCTTCGGCATTGGCCGAGGCTGAGCTCAACATGCGAGACAAAACGCCGGCTGTGATAGGTACCGCGACTACCGCTCGGGCAGAAAACCTTGGAATGGCAAAGGCGGCGAAACGTTGGTGTGCGATCTAGTTTTTGCGTCCGATATTTCGATCGCCATGGCAAGGATGTTGCATCGCTAGTCGCTAGTCGCTAGGGCAGCTAGGTTCCAGACGCGACCGGCTGTTGGAATGGCAGCAAGCAGCCGACCGGTGAGGCTGAGGGATGGTGACTGAAGGCAGGCAAAGGTGGCGCGAGGAAGTGTGTTGCTGTTCTACGATGGTGCATTGGGGCTGCAAGGCAGGTGCGATATTCTCGCGCTAGCACGTGACGACGCAGCTAGGAAGGCGCAAGCTTGGAACCTCCAGGCGCAGTCAGCTATGTTGGATTGCCCCACTCAAAAACGAGCTCCACGACGAGAACAACCAAAAAGGATATCTATTGTGGTACAGCTGTACATGATAACGGAAGCATCGTAAATGCAGACAGACGCTTTTGCCCCCCAATGTCAACAAGTATGGGCGGAGAAAAGGCAGTGCAACTAACCATGAACACAAGGAAACACAACTGAAAGCAACTATAACTTCTTCTCCACCTCCATAACTTCCTTGATGCCCTCTGCAACTGCATCGACTTTCTCTTGCGGAAGCCTCTTGAGTGGCCGGCGGGGGTATCCGCCGTAGCCGTAATACGACTGGAGTGCTGACTTGGTTCCAGGAATAGCTGCTTTTGTGAGAACCCAATCGCCTTTGCTGAGTACCTTCTGAAGTTCAATGGCTTCGTCATATTTGCCTTCCGCCCATAGGTTCCAGACCTTGACGCATGTCTTTGGCAGAACGTTCGCACCACCAGCGATGATTCCCGATCCGCCACTAGCAGCAGTCTGAGCTGTGAAGTCGGCCATGCCACCAAAGGCCATGTAGCCACTACCTTCGCTCTTCATTGTGCAGGCGTTGGTAGCAAGGGCGACACGGGTGAGTTTGCCAGTGTTACCGCATGTGAACTTGGTACCAACAATGTTTGGGTGCTTTCCAAGCTTGATGATGAGGTCGCTGTCCATATCGATGCCAGCAACAGCTCCCGGGTAGTTGTATAGAATGATTGGGAGTGGTGAGCTGTCTGCGACTTTGGTAAAGTACTCGTAAATGGCGTCTTCGTCGATGGCATAGCGGTAATAGCTGGGAGGGACAGTAAGAACGTACTCGCCACCCGCCGCCTCTGCTTCTTTGCAGAGCTCAATGGTAAGCTTGATGCCGTGTTCAGAAGCTCCGACAATGACCGGGACGTTTTGGTAGCCAGCCTCATCGAGGGCCTCACGGGTTGCTCGCGTGACAGCGGTCTTCTCAGCCCGTGACAGATGGACAGCCTCTCCGTTGGATCCCATGGTGACGAGACCAACAAGGCCAGCCTCGGCAAGTCGTACTGCGTGCTTCTTGATGGTAGGGATATCTAGCTCCTCGGTCTCGGGGTCAAAGAACGTCATGGTGGGCGAGTAAATGCCTGGCCGAAGAGGAGTACGCTCTTTGGAGTGGCCATTGGCCCCGTTTCCGTTTGATGTCATGTTTGCGGTATGTACAATCAAGAAGAGTTGAGACTGGAAAGGAACAACGCAAGTAATATACGAGTACGGAAGTTTCGGGGGAGAGGAAGGGGCGAAGAATAAAGATGATGCACACACGGGTTCGGTCAGCTTTAATATAGCAGCGAGATGGAGGTAATCGGCGCAAAGTAAGTCAGAGGAGCTAAGTTCGGCAGAGCTCACTTCCCATCCCACATGGACTGGCGTGTCTCAGTGGCTCTACCGTTCAAGATCTCGTCAAATGGTCCTGTTTGATTCGCCAAGGACCGCATCGGCGAGGGCTAGACTGGAAGTTGGGTGCAGGGCTGTGGGCCATCTGGCGAGTTCGGGACACCACTGGGCGAAATGCGGGACATTCTGCGGCCTTTTCTATGAGAGTGACTAAAGTCGGCGGTTGTCTGATGGGATAGAACTGCACCTGGGGCAGGGTTAGCTGTCGAACATAGTGGCACAGCACGGCTGTCGTGGACGGGGTGGCATTCTTCCACCAATAGCAGGCGGGCACGCGCGTGGGGGAAGCCAGTGTCGCTCTTTCCTTGGCCTCTGGGGAACCTCGTTACCCCTCGGAACGCAATAAACGCCAACCACCACGCGTGCCCCAAGGAATTACTCCAAGACAATTCCGCCATGTCGAGACGAGCCTCGCTGCTTCCTCGACGGCTTGGAGACGCCACGGCCATCGGAAACAGATGTAAAGCGCGCGCTGAGCAAGACACAGCCCCCACCATGACCAAGGCCTCGAATGATGCAACGTCATCCGGCCGCGGCTGCCGGCAGCACGCGTGAGGCCTCGTGCCCCTCATCGCGTTGCTGGGTCATATATCTTCCGTCGCTATCGATAAGTGCTCAAAGGCCGACGAAGCTGTGTCGGGTATTGAAGCATCGCATCCCCTTCAATTCCAGCTCTTGTCTCGTCTCATCTTGCTCGAGATCAGGACAGCAGCTGCCAGTGTCTCTATCATCTGGGCCTTTTCTCAACCCTGCAAAACTATAGTCAATATGGCGCCAGTAGAAGTGCTCATGGTACGTTGCCCCTCACCACAGTCTAGCCGCAGCTCTGTGGCTCACTCACATCTGCGGCGCGTCGCATGTCAATGCTAATTGCACGCCAGGTCGGTACTGGAGAGTACACGACAGGATTCGTTGGAGGAGGCGCCTCCAAGTCGGACAAGAAGGTTGGTGTCGTAGGCCTGACGCTGTTCGACCTCCGAAGACGCGGCAAAGTGGGCAAGCTGTCCATGGTGGGCACATCGGGCGGCAAATTCCCCGCAATCCGTGAGTCGCACAGCATCTGGACGGTTTTACTATGTCCGGCATGCTGATATTTACCAGGCGAGCATCTCCAGAAGAACATTTCCGAGGCATACAACAACTTGGACGTGTCATTTGAGGAGTTCCCAAAGGAAGGCAAAACTGATCCGAACGCGTACAAGACAGCGATTGACGCGCTTCCAAAGGGCAGTGCCAGTGAGTTGCAATATACACCCGCTCAATTACCTCCTCCCATTGACGTCGCATAGTCACCATCTTCACACCTGACACCACTCACTACCCGATCGCTCTGTACGCTATCGAACGCGGAATCCACGTCCTCATCACGAAGCCCGCGGTAAAGCTCCTGGAACACCATCAGGCGCTTTTGGCAGCTGCGAAGAAACACAATGTCTTCGTTTACATTGAGCACCACAAGCGATACGATCCTGCGTATGCTGATGCGCGTTTCCGGGCGCAGAAGCTGGGCGATTTCAACTACTTCTACTCCTACATGAGCCAGCCAAAGTACATTCAACCCCTACTGAATCGAAGACTCTATTTGCTAATACTTCGATCAGGAGCCAACTGGAGACGTTCAAGGCCTGGGCGGGTATCGATTCCGATATCTCCTACTACCTCAATTCTCACCACATCGACATCAACGAGTCCATGATCCCCGATTGGAAGCCAGTACGCGTCATGGCTAGTGCTGCAAAGGGCATTGCAACAGGACTGGGCTGCGATCCTGCTACCGAGGATACCATCACACTGCTCACCAACTGGGTGAAGAAGGATGACCCTAGCAAGGTCGGAACAGGTGTTTACACAGCTGGCTGGGCAGCGCCTCAAAAAGCCGGTGTACACTCGAATCAGTACTTCCACTACATGGCATCTACAGGAGAGATCCGCGTCAATCAGGCCAAGCGCGGTTACGACGTTACTGACGACGAGGGTGGTCTCCTCTGGTACAACCCGTGAGTTCAAACATCGCAAAGTCATCCATTTGCGTACTAACCACTTACAGATTTTACATGAAGTACGCTCCCGATGAGGAGGGCAACTTCGCAGGCCAGATCGGCTACGGATACATCTCTTTTGAGAAGTTCGTTGATGCCGTCAACAAGCTCAACGCAGGCGAGGTCACACTCGAACAGCTAGACGCGCGGCCACTCCCAACCCTGAAGAACACTATCGCGACGACCGCAATTCTCGAGGCAGGCAGAAGATCGCTCGATGAAAACCGGCCGATTGACATCATTGAGGAAAATGGTGTCTGGTCTTTGAAGTAGTCAAGTCGAGCAATCAAAAGCGAACGTGGCACCGCTCAGTGGGGCGCGCCTACCATGTACCTTTTCGTCACAGTCTCGCTTTAACAAGCGTTGTATACCTTTAGCCTAAGTCGCACAAGCACTGTTTACTCATCATCCACTGATCCTAGCTTGACGTGATCGTCGCCTCCGCTATGGCGCGGTCCCACGTGGTTACTGACACGCCGTCGACAGGCTCCACCCCCATAACGCGAGGACAGACCCGTAGACAAGGTAAAACAGTCTCCACAAGGTGGCGTATGCACAAAACAAGGGCATTTTGAAAAGCGGGAGATGCTCGGGTGCTCTAGTCAGTTTCTGTGACGGGCTCGGGCGAACGTCCACCGAACGAAAAAGGCTAGGGTGATCCCGAGACCGAGACCGACACACCCACTCCGACTCCGACACTTTGTCTCCTGGGAACAGACTCCCCTTCCTTAGTGTAGCACAGGCCGACGGCTGGTAATCCTAGCTCAGATCCACGGAGGGCTTTTCATAGCTGTTTCGAACTTTAATCCAACGTCGAAAATGTGATCCTTAATCCAACGTCGTGGGTGCCAGGTGCCTTAGATCTCATGGCTGTCCTTTCCACATATACTGACTACGCAAAGACCATGTAGCAGAACCATTTGACTACTTCATCGCCATGTATCATCATTAGGTGTGTACACACCCAGTCACTCATTAACGTTTTGTCACTCACCCATTCTTTGTTTAGTGATCAAGGGGTTGTACAGCCACAAAGCTGATGACATCACAACAATACCAACAAAAGGCCGTTTAGACAAAGGCTATACGCTCTCCAGCATACTCAAAGCCTTCTGGTGTATACCTCACGACCGTGGCTTTGGCCTTGTGCCTCAAGCTTACCACTGTCGTCGAAGAGGGAAAGAAAGACTTTGCGATGGTGGACCGACGCACACACCTTTTCCAAAAGATCCAGAGCTCTTCTGAAGCGCTCGTGGCAAGCGAACAAGACATACTGAATGATTTCTTAAGTACGAAAGGTCTCTCCCAGATCGATCTGGACAAGTCTATATCGACCGAGCGCATACGCACACCACATACGCACACCACTCGGTCCGGCGTTCTTGTAACGGAGGATCGCGACGATAAAATAGATGAGGCATGTGGAATTGCCCGCATAGTTCCTTATTTGCGCCGGCGATGCTCTGTCGACTTGTACCTAACGCCGGATCAGCGATACCCTAACTTGAGCAACGACGATGGCGGAGCGGTAGAATATGCCGTAGAAAGAGATCTCGTACTTCAGAGGCATGAGCTTAGTACCAGTGAGCTAGGATGCGACAAGCACATGGTATACCTCGAGACGGAAAGAGCTCAGCTTCACAACGAACACTTCGGCGAAATTGATCACATCGGAGTCTGGTTCTATGATGAAGTTCTGGACATTGGCCTCGATGCCATCTACCGTATACTTGGTTGCGAACATCACGACATCGCCATTCTCGGTACGCCTTTCGCCGCGGAATTGTACACGATTGGCTGCGATGAGACCGCGACTCTAGAAGCCGGGGAAGCGCTGCAGAAGACGATAGGAACGAATAAGTTCGTCATAATTCCCGTGAGTAATGGCTGGAAAAGGATACACGCTGGAGATCGTAGCGGTCATTTGCTCGGTACACATTGGACCTTGGTGATCATCGACTGTCACCAGCCGATTATCCATGCACGACACTATGACTCCGACGGTACGGCGAGTAACTTCGAAGCGGCTATGGTACTACTTCGTGGCTTCAGCAGAATCTATGCGGAAACGCGACCAGACTACAAGATTGATCAAAAGACGCTTGGCACTAACCTCCACCAAGAAATGCGCTGCCCCAACCAAAAGCTCCACAACCGGTGCTACGCTGATGGTGGCGGTGCCTGTGGGCCTTTTGTATGGGCTTTCGCGAAAGATATGGTACAGTATATCATCGAATGTCATGAAGACGCTCACCGTCTGGGCCGACATGTTGACATTGACATCACCTTGCCCGCTGGCTTTGCGCAACGTTGGTGTTGGGATTCGGGGGCGACGCGGAAAAGGATAAAGAACCTGCTTGAACTAGAACGAAGGTCGAGGGTTTGGCTCAATGGTACGCATGACTGGTGGGAGACAGATGGGCAGCCCGGGTGGAAAGATTGGCTGGCGGCCAGGAGGGAAAGGATAACTGCGGATTATTTCTGGGATCCGTGGCATGGCATTCATGCTTAAGATCCTAAGCAATAATCATAGTTTGACAGCTTATGAAAATTCTAAAGTTCACATTACACTGTTCTCAACTTCCTCAATCACCAAGTAGTAGCCAAGTCAGGACTAGTACCTTGAGAGATTTCGATACGTTTCGTGAGCATCCTTCTTTGCATTATACATTGAGAGATATCGAAAAGGTGACAAGATTACGCGCCCATTATTACCGGCCGCCCAAATTGAGGCGCCAGCTCACTCTCCAGCCCCCATGGATCCCAAAAGGTCATCTCGTTCAATCCCTTTCCTTTCAGCCAAGATCTCCAACCTGCCACACCGTCCCCCGGCGTGGAAATCCTCTGTCCCACACTATCCATCCACTCCGAAGTACGATTCAGCCACTCTCGGGTTCTCAGCTCTCTCAACACGAGACTCCATATCACCCTACGCGTCTTCGCTGAGTCCCAGTTTCTGCGGCGCTGGTAACTGTCTGGTAAACAAGGGTCGATTTGGCCCTCATCCGGAAAGTTGGGGTCTTCCCGACAGTCGGCAATGTATTGCGTGATTTCCTTACTCATTTCCCATACAAAAGGGCCACAGGCGCCCAGGCCGTCTTCTTCGCCGCTGACATTCTCATGGCCTTGGTTGGGGCAATGTGTGTCAATGTCAAAAACAAATTCTTCCTCGTTGAAACGTCCCGGCTGCACATGGTTGAGCATCGTTCGTACGCCAGTCAAGATCATCAGGGCTGCTTTGCAAATGTTCGAGTCTTCCATTGCGTAGTGATGTAAAAGGCCAGCGGATTCGTGGTAGCTGGAGTCAAAGTAGCGGCCTTTGATGGTCGAAGAGCGACAGTCGACGAGGAGAAGAGACCAGTGATTGCCTGCAGTTGATTCATGGGGCACAGGCTCTGTGATGGGATTCGTCTTGGCCGCTTCATACTGACGTTCACGTTCCATGCCTGTCTCGTAAACGTCTTCGTACGCGTTGCTGATCGGTACCAAGATGAAGTCTTTGTCCCTGCATTTCTCAATCAGCAGTCTATCGAACCATACTGCCTCCTGATCTTGAAGTTCCTGCGCTTTCCTCATACTGGTGTAGAGCTCGGATCCCTGACTAATACGACAGATTGCGATCCCGTGTTTTTGGCAGTTGGCAGCTCGCTCCAGTATATCCAGAGATGTGTCTATGTGGCTGTCGTGAAACCAACCGTCGTCGGGGCCGAGAGTGAGAAAATGGGGGAACTGAGATTCATCGATCGATGCGTTTGCCGTTTCGAGGACAGTATGATTGGGCTTTGCGGAGAGAGTGTAGTCGCGATCAAAGACGTCTAGCCGCTGAATACTCGTGTAGGTATCCCAACTAAAGGCTTCTGCTTCCCTGAACGCATCAGTGTCTTCGAAGACACTATCATACTTGCGCGCTTCGTGATGCCCATCACTCTTGGTTGACGACTGTTCTCCTCCCCCGGAATAGGCCGAGCAATCAACCGACCAGCGGCGAGGATAGTTTGATCTGATCTCAGATTTGCGGAGTGTCCGGTTGTTGGTAACAGCTTCAAGAATTCGAGCGCAGTTGTCGATTGGGATGGCATGAGAGATAAGATTGTCGGTACCTCTGCTGCTGACACGATCAACCCCGGTAGTAATGTAAGATGCTGCCTTGAAACGAGGAACACTTGTAAGGTCGAGAGCATCGATGGATGTCGACGACATTATTTGGGAGGATCCTATAGGCGGGAGACCATTCCGGGCAAGTGCTTCGTGGAGACTTTGTAGCGATTGGTGGCTAGCTTCCGTACTCATGGTGCGTGGTCTTGCGAGTCGTGAATGGCCAACGAGCGATATGAATTCCAGTGCATTCGAACTTGAGGTTGGCTTTTCATGTGCAAGACGCATACGAAAAGTCATCAGATGATGTAGCTTGCCCTTGGCATTCCAAATGCAGGCAGGAGCTAGAGAGACACGAACACAATGGGTCACTGACAAAGCGTGAGATAAAGGATGCAGGTCGTAAAAGAGAGGCAGACGGGACCAAGAGAGTGATACAAAGAACAATGATACAGGCATCAGACACTTCACACAAGCAGAAAATAGAGCGAAGAGCTTCGTTAATGTTGATACGCAAATCGATCGCTAGCCACTCATCAGCATCGCTCGCTAGATGCTCCTTGATAACTATCACCAATGCAGACCCGAGAAGAAATTAGAGCGACAGCAAGGAGAGCATGCGCGTGCAACCTCCATTAACGAAATTAGTTCCCCGCCTCACAGCACCATGTAATGATGCTTAAGCTTATTTTCCTCGCCTGCGATCACAGCTTAACCAGCCTTTCCGGCCTCATCCAGCCTTGTCAGCATGCCCTGGACCTCCTTGACGAGAGCCTTGCGCTTGAGCCTAGCTTCTGGATCACCTTCCGTCTCGACACCATCTAGCTTGAAGATGATCTGGGTCAAGATAGTCTCACTCAGCTTCTTGTATTCGAATGTCCTCTTCGCCTTATCTTCTGGCGGGCTGGCCATGAATTGCACACACATGGGTACGAATTCGGTGTGGAACTTGCTGGCGATGGCATCGAGTTTGCCGATTGGGGTTTGGGGCTCGGCGGGTTTGGCCGGGGGAGGAGTGGGACTCGGGCGCGGTGCCGCGCTGATATGCGAGGGGATAGGGAGGTATTCTGCGCCGGCCCCGCCAGTTGTGTAGCCGGGTGTTGAGGTGCCAGAGGCGTTTGCCGAAGAAGGACCCTTCTTCTTGCTCTTCCTGCCGCCGCGCTTGCGGGACTTCTTCTTGCCTGTAGTATTCGCGCCAGAGTCGACGTCATCTTCGTCGTCATCGTCGTCCTCTCCCTCGCTGTATGCGTGTTGTGGTGCGTCTTCTGATCCGGGTGCTAGGCCACCGACTGGGGTTTCGCCTACCGTGACCAGAATCTCACTACCGGTCCCGTCACCACGGAGGCCTTCCTCCCGTCCAGTCCGCTCGTCGTGCTTCAGATTCCTGCCCTTGTAGAACATGCGTATCCGCCTGTGGTCATCGACGCCCAGCTTCTTTGCTGCCGCTTGTCGGACTGTACCAATCTTCAGGTCTCCATCGCGTATGCTGTGCGCGGGGAAGTGTGTAGGGTAATGTGTGCGCCCGTTCTTGAAGATGAGAACGTCTGTTTCCCGTTCTGGGTTCTTGTCATCCCAGTCGACGATTTCGGGCGCTTGCGCTTGACCATTTCGTCGGAGGTCTTCGTTGGTGATGTATGAAAAGTCAGAGTCGTTGACGACGCCGGCGTTGGGCGAGTTGCCTGGCCGGCCAAATGGCGAGAAGCGTCCTCCCCAGTTTCCGCCGGTGCGCGAGAACCAGGACATGGTGACGATGACAGAGGCTAGTGCGATAGCAAGGGTGGTAAGGTAGGTAGGGTCGTCGAGGCGAGGGTTCGTGAGGAACTCGGCGACGTCGTGGAAGCTGCGGTGCTGTAGGGCGCGCAACACTTTGGATAGCGCGTTCGTGTGTTGGTTTTCAGTGTCGCCTGACGAAGAAGTTGTCGTGGAGCTTAGTAGAGATCGAGAGTCGCGGAAGTTGAAGGATTTCTTCAATTCGTCGACCAGGTTACTTAGCGACGCCACGGTGGTGGTGTGAGACTCGCCCTGCCAGTGTAGCAGGCCGTAAGCAGTCAGCGTATGCGAATGACGTAGTAAGCTGCCAGAAAAAGCCCTGGGTTGTGTAGTGGGGGGCGGCTGTAGGCGGTGTGAATCAATGTTGATCGGCCAAAAGTATGAGCGACTGGTACGGAAGCTCCGACCGCCCAGGTGCCGCATCGACCCACTTGACTGCACATGTCTCCCACTTACGAATAGTCACTGAACAGTAGGCTTCGCTGCATACACACTGTTATATCCTAGCAAGTAAATTGTCTCTAAGATAACGTATGTTTCTAGCTTGATAAAATCCTAGACATCTCTTTACAACGCGACAGGAATTGTTGCCGCCCCTGCTGACGCAGTACGCAACTCACACATCACTCGTTGCAAATTTGGTGGTCATGCAATCGTTGATTCAGTATAATACACAAGCTAGGCTTGATCATGTGTACCGTTCTCGTAATGATCAGTGTCCATCGGACACGTAAGATCCAGAAACAAAAAGAAAGATTTTGAGGGTTATGCCTGGAGAACCGTTACGCCCCGATGCCAATTATGACGTGAGAAAGAACAAAGATTTGACAAGAAGGAAGTATCGTAAGTCATGAGGCGATGCTCAAGCATCGTGACAAGTACGCCAGCAAATGACTGAAGAGTGAACTGGGAACAAATGCCCGTCGAATCATGGATGATGCATGTTCGCTACATCTTGTGACGAACACACCTCAACAGCATCACATTCTCCGACCAAGACAAGAAAGCTTACGCCCTGCTTCGTTTGGGCGTAGCAAGGAAAGCGAGCCTTGACTTGCTGATAGCACCCGCACGTCCTGAGGTGTGGCGAGCTGGCTTGCTTGCGCTGGCAGGGGCCTTTGGAGCGGGTGCAGGTGTCCGCTTCATCTTCTTGTTGGAGCGCGTGTCGTCGTCATTAGGTCCATCGTTCTCCTTGTCGGATGTCTCCTGGAGGGTCTCCAGCTTGCGCTTGGTGCCGTCGACGAGAGAAGATGCATCGCTCTGACGTACCATGCGGATCGTGCCAGTCGATACAGGGCCTGAAAAAGTTAATGAGTTGTCAGTAATGAGAGGCGAGAAGTAGACCTACCAAAGTTGACAGTGTTGCCGGACTCGAAGGAAAAGGAACGTGGATGATTAGGAGCTTCGCCACCGAATGTGAGGCGACGAGATGGAGAAGCGGTCAGAGTCTCAATCTCTTGAGAAAGATCTGGGCCATTGTGTGCTCCCGAGCCGAGACTAGGATAGATCACAGCACCAGCAGGCACTTCACTGCCTGCCCTGAACTTCATCGGGGACGGTGATTTGCCCAGCTCATCGTGCGACGCGCGCTCCAAAGTACTACTGCTGAAGTTGACTTGCTTCTTCACGGGAGCTGTAGCAGGAGCCAGGGACGGTGCTTTGTCGAGGCTCATGGTCGGAGGTGACATGTGAGTACCTGCCGCGACTTTGCTAGGATCGTCCGAGAATTTGCGGTTTGGCGTGCGAAGAATTGACCGGACGCGCTGCAAGTTGCTGCTTGCCTGCTGGTGTTAGTGGATACTTGGAAAAAGCGCCCATAGATAGACATACCTTGCGCATGCTCTCGCGTGCATTGTCCCTCAGAGTCTGCAGATGGCCAATGTTGCTAGGAGGAGAGAAGGTATTACGGGCAGAGGACGACTCGAAGCTACGATTGACAGATGGCGAAGCTCCCAGGTTGTTCGTGGAAGGCGACTTTCCTAGAGTTGGGATCATCGATGTCGTCTTCAGAGTCTTGACGCTCTGTGAACGCGCCATAGATGACTTCGTAGGCGTCATCAATCGCGCAGCTAGACGAGGAAGTGCAGTTTGAGATGTCTTCTTGCGGGCCGGCGTTGCAGCTGCGCGGGCTGGAACATCGGGCATCTTTTCGCGAGACGCAGGGCGGGTGGTGGCAGCATCGTCAGACTCGGTGCGCTTGACACGCTTAGCTACCGGATTACGGTCGCCGTCGCCGTCGCCGTCGCGTGAGGCCGGTCGTCCATCGCGTGTAGGAGGAGCCATGCGAGCTGGTGGCTGGGAGCGTGGCAGAGCAGATCCGGTGAGGTCCATCTTGGATTGAGTGCGCTTCAACGGGGTTGGGGGAATCTTGCTTCCAGATCCTGCGAGGTCCATCCTCGACTGTGTGCGCTTTAGACCTCCAGCGGCACTCGAGCTCGGCTCCGCCAGATCTGCTTTCGACTGTGTACGCTTGAGTTTGTTCGTCTCCGTGTTCGCGAGCTCTGGTTTCGAGGGCGACTTCTTGAGCGACTGGCCTACGACGGGCTTGAATCGTGTCGGGTCGGCGCGGAAAGCTGACGGGTGGTTCGCGATAGAGTCCATGTTCTTGAACTGCTTCATATGTACGTCGCTGAAGCGAGCCATCTTGCCCTTGGCTTCGGCCATCTTGCGCTGGGGAGACACATCGACCTTGGAGGACCACTCGCTCGTGCCTATATGAAAATAGCGATTAGAAAAAGCAAAACAGGTTGAGTTGACTATCACTTTAACGTACCGAACAGAGCACGGCTGCCACCACCAGGAGTGCCTGCGATCCCAGCGTCTTTCAGGATGTTGCGCGAGCTTGGGCTCAGCGTGGCTTCGTCTTGTTTCGAGGAAGGTGACTTGAAGCGGAAGCGGAAGTCAGGCGATGACCCAACATTGGCCATCGAAGAGGCAGCTACAGGAGTCTTCGAGGGCGTTGCCTGACCCGCCAGGCCGGTCGCTTTGGAAGGCGCGGTACCCAGTGACTGAAAACCGAGCCAGCGCGCCTCATCCAGGATCTTGGCTGTGCTCGCGTGGTGATGCGCTGGATGCATCTCCTGTCCTGCCGGCTTGATCGGAGTGCGATCTTTGGGTGTTTGGCTCTTGGCGTCATCAATGAGCGACTTGGTTGATTTGCTCTTATGAGGTGTGGGTGTCGCGGCCGCTTGCGGTAACTTGGACTGGGCCTTGGGACCTGCAGAGGCGTTCGAGGGCGTCTTCCGCGCCATACCAGGCTCTGGCAATTCTGGAAGGTCTGGAAGGCCCAAGTTGGGCGACGAGGCAGTGTGCCAACTATCTTCGGAGGGCGTAGTCTCGCGCTACAACAGACGCATCAGTAAATGTAAACAAACGGTGGAAAAGCAATGTGCGCGTACCTTGAGCAGACGAGCTGATCGACGCGCCATCTTGTCAAGAAATGTTCAAGAAGGATCAGCTACTAGGTTGCAACACGAAGGGAGCGGAGATTGGGACTGGCCTGTGGGTGGGGAGGGACGGGGAAGATATCGGCTAGAGCATGGATAAACAAAGCGCACGGGCCTTAACGTCCCGAACAGGAAACGACGTCATGAGGAACCACGAGATGTGAGGGCACGTGGGAGACTGCACACTACATTGAGATATAAACATGGGAAGTGGGTAAGCTAGCCTTAGTGTAGGCTATAGGATGTTCAGGTTTCTCCAGGGCTCCTAGGTTGACGTGCTGCAGTGAGGCACAACTGGCGCACAGCGCACAAGACAGGGCTTCGTTGTTTCGCAATGGAATGTTTTCCACATCAATGTCAAAATCACCCTGCACTGACTTCGCGCATGTTCTACCGGATACTAGTCCACAGCTCACCAGCCCTTCTGCGTTTCCTTCCCAAGTAGTGCGCCAGGCGGTTTCGCCAAGCCCGCCTCAACACTTCTCTCCACCTCGTTCCTCAGCCCTTCAATTCTCTTCTCTTCATCTTGGCTCTGTACCCTCGTTTGTTCCCCACTTTTCCACACAAAGTTGCCGGCGCCTCCTCTCCCACTCCTTGCAACGGGAAGTTCCTGACCTTCTGGATGCCACGGCGTGCTAACTTGTGGCTTCGATGATGTAGGAATAGCAGTTGCATCAGCAGCCTGCGTAAAGGTGCCTTCTTTCTGGAGCTCGGTGGGCTGGTACCAGTTGCCGGCACCACCACGACCCATGTGTGCGTAGTCTTGCGACGCGTTGGAGGGCTGCACTTGTGGAGGGTCGCGTGAAGGTTGCGCAGCGGCAGTGGTGGAAGAGCGGTTGGCTTCGACGTCCTGTGTTGACGGTGAGCATACCTAAGAACATATAGGATTGAGAATGCGTGATCATTATCGACTCACTTCGGCAACCTTCTTACTTTGCTCCTGCGCCGCGTAGTAATTGCCTGCACCACCGCGTCCGTAGGCCATCGTGATCGGATGCTCCCAGTATTGGCTTATAGCCTCGATTTGGAGTTTGCTGTATTGAGCGTAGGTGCGCAGAAGCTGTCAATGGTAAACCAGAGAGATGATAAACCCGGAAGATGGATGGAGAGGTTGGGCGTTGCTACATGCGCATGTGGTACGCGGCTCCGAGTGGGTCATGCGAACCCATATCAATCCGCGCCCAATGTTCTGGATTGATAGGAACGTGGGGAACGGCTTGTCTAAACGACGATCTACTAGATTCAGTGTGGGGTCGGAATTGGTCATAAGCTTGGCAAATTGATAACGCGGGCTGCCAAGCAGATGCCACCGTCTTGAAAGACGACTTGGGTATGATGATCTTCTACACATGCTTCATGGTCTGCATATTAGTTGCGCGACGACTGCTCAAATGTCAGTCAATCACATAAATGTCATGTAATCCTCGAGTTGAAACTTTGAATAATCGTGATATTCGCACACTGCTACTAACAAGTGGAAAGCTGAACATGCTACCGGAGGGCCTATTCCCTAACGGCAGCCGTGAAAGAACATAACAAGACATCGCTATACCGATTGAAACAGTTATTGGCCATCGTCCCTGATGATGCCACCAAGCCTGGTTAACTCCTTGACGCCATCATTCCCTTCTGAACTCCATAAAGCATCTTGAACCCGCCCAAGAAGAGAAACACTACTCTCGGCCCTCTTGTACAGCGCGCAGTACGGGGTAGAGGTTGTGTGCATCGTCGTCGCTCATGCGGCGCTCGAGATCGTGCTTGACGTCTTCCTCATCGTCAGAGAAGTCATGCGACTCGAGTCTGTCTTTGAGGTACGCCCTGAGCCTCTCGATAACTCGGATGTTCTCAACCCAGGATTGCTGAGACTGGTCGCCTTGTTCTGTGTTGTTTGACGACGCAATGCTTGGTGAGCGAAGAGCAGGGTCAACCTTGGGCGAGTGGATAGCCAACTGGTTAACGTCATGGTGAAGACTGTTTTGCTCAGAATCCCGGCGATCCTTGGGCGATGCACCGTCGCTTGACATATCCATGGAGTCGTGCTCTGATCGGTCCGGAGCGGCTTTCTGGAGGAGGTTACCAGAGAAGCGGCGACGGCCATCAGAATCAAACGCTGGTGCAAGTCCAGAAGATGGTGCAGCAGCTGACATGTCTGACATCGCGCTGACAGATGGTAGAGTAGGGTACATGCTACCAATCGAACTCCTTGATGTGGGAGAAACACCGTTGTTAGAGTGCTGCGCACCGGGAGAGTGCTGAGATCCGTATGATAGCACGCTGGATGCTGGTGTCAGAGCAGGGGTCTCAGCGCTGGTGGATCCGATGGCAGTGGCGTGAGACGACTGAGAGTGGCTAGACGAAAGGCCAGGTGGCGAGTTGCTGGAGCGGTAGCCAACGCCGGTAGGAACGTAGTGTCCGGGGTGGGCCACACCAGCAGCCGCAGCGTGGTTGGGGTTCTCATAGACGGTGCTTTGCAGTTGCTCCAAGAACTGGTCAATATTCAAGAGATCGCTCTTGGTCCTAAGGTTGGGAAGCGGCAGAGAGTAGGGGTGGTGCATGGGTGGGTGCTGTGCTTGAGCAACCATTGAGCCGCCGTGGCCATACTCAGACATGCCCTGGCCCTGGTAGCCGCCTCCACCGCCACCAAGGACGGGAAGCTGAACACCTTGGAGACCCATGAGCCGTTGGCCGACATCATAGTAGGTGGTTGGGTCAATGGCGCGACGCTTGGCGTCTCCGAAGAACTCGTTGAGCGCATCATACGCGGCGCGCTTCCTGATTTCGTAGTCGTTGTTGAGCTGTTGCGATTGGTTCACAGCATAGTAGACAGGGCCATAGGCGGAGTTCTGGGGTGGGCCTCCGTAGAATCCGGCTGGGGCACCACCTGGGTGTTGCTGGCCGTAACCTCCGTTGGGGCCGAGGGCACCATCAGGATATTGGTATCCACTCGCTGTGGCAGCAAGCGCCTGCAAGTCAGCGACAACTGCATGTTCTGTTAGAGGATGATCGAAGTTGGGTAGCAGACATGGATCGAAGTTGAGATCGACCAAGTCATGTGAGGAGTACTTACGCTTGCCGTTTTGGCCCGGGTAGCCTTGGGCGCCGTGGGGACCGCCTCGGTTGGGCTCTGGGGAGCGGAGTAGCACGGAATCGTCGGCGTGCGTCTTTACGTGCTTCTTCAGATCCTGAGGACGCTTGAACGCCTTACCACAGAAATCGCACTTATGCGGCTTCAGCGGCACGTGCACGCGAATGTGGGAAGTAATGTGGTCGCGCTTGACCGTGGTGGTGCGGCAGTTACCCCACTGGCAGGTCAAATTCAGGTTGTTGGTGCTCTTGCGACCAACATGGCGCTCACAGACGTGGTCCTGCACGCAAGTCAGCGAGCTGCAAAGACGAGTAATGGCAGTGTTCTACGCGTCGCGGCGCGGTATGCAGCCGTCGCTAAGCACACTTGGCGAAGAACTTACATAGAGCTGCTCAGCAGAGGGAAGACGGTCGCCGCAGTTCTGCCACTGGCAGGTAAGCTGGTCGCCCGAGCCTGCAGAGACTGAGGCGGGCGTTGGAGCATTCTGCTGGATGGGGGTGCCCTGGGGCTGCTGTTGAGGAGTCGTGGCCGCTGCGGGCACTGTATTCTGAACCTCGCTCATCGTCTTGGCGAAGGTGCTGGCAGTTACCAACAATGGTGAGGGTGAAATGTGGGTGAGAGAGTCAAAACCGCGCAGAGCGATGACAGTTATCGCAAAGTTAAGCTACGGTAAGGAAGGGGCAGTCTGGGGTCGTGGAGCAAAGTCAGAGGAGAGGGCGCCCAGAGGTTCTCGGGGGCAGTTGGCAGCTTTTACCAGCGGAACGGAGCGGGCGAAGATTCGCCCAGAGAAAGAGAAACTGGCGCGGCCCATGAGCGAGGCACTGCCGGGCTAGGCCAGGGCAGGCATGGTCCGTGTAGGGTGGGCGCAGACGTCCTGTGATTCGGCCTTGCCTGCTCAGCCGCCCCACTCTCGTGCTCACTGGCGCCTTGGCCCTCATCTTGGCCGAACGCGATGGCTTCGCCGACATCCGTCACTCGCAAATGACCACATGCGACCCAGATTCACGTACGCGCTCCCTGTTTTCGCGGGGTATCTGGTCGGCGCATCCAGAGACACCACGCACAAGCAGGGCCATGGGCGTTGTTGCGCGCGCCGCTGGGTGCCTTGCCGCACGCTCGACCCCTCACACAGAAGCGACACAACCGAAACAGCAATCAAAATGCGGAATTCTTGGTGCCCTTGGCTTATGAGCAGCAGCGGGAAGTATTGGCATCCAATCTACTCCAGTTCTCGCTGCGATCCCATGCTCCTGTCACGCCATCCCATCATCACTGGTGGCGACAGCTGTGGCTGGTTGGCTGGCTATACCACATACCTTGAATTTACTTGGATTACAGAGCCGCCCGACTGCCCATCGGATGCCTTGCTGACTTCCCGGCTCGGGCGAATGGCCTGTCGCACTCGCATTCTATGCAGTGGGCCATCGATGCTTGCCAAATGCCCCTCATCTCAACGAGATGTTTACGGCACACCAGATCATGTACACGCCTGTAGAATCATTCAACATGATCTCGATCTTCGGCGCAAATGTCAATATACCAGTCTGTCAACCTTGTAGTCGCGCCGGCCGTATGTAGATGAACTCTGTCACAACCACCTGCCCTTGACATTCCCTGAGCATATAGTACACTTCCAACACGTTGAGGCCCTCGAAAAGGTCCCCTGAATGGCTCCGGGTTTCCATGTCTCAAACGGTCGCCAGCTTTGGGCGGGATGTCCACGCATCCACGTTTCCACTCTTGGCTCTTCGCCAAGTGCCCAGCAAGTAGGCCAAGAATTGAGCGATTATCACATTGAGGCTATGCACGCTTACGAGGCAGGAGGTATGGTCTTGCGGAGCAATCACACCTACCGCGTGCGTAGTTCGCTCGTAGTAAGTCGCACCGGTCCCAGGAGGCTGACCAGAGCAGCCTTGCGGTATTTTACGTTCTATTAGCGGCTCATACATTTCTTCTTTCCAAACATAGCCGGATTTCGATCTCCGTACTTCAGGGGCATGACAGCCATCGCGCGAACTGCGAACGCCTGCATGGCTTGTATCATGCCTTAGCATACCAATTCTAAGTTCGGCAGATCTTGCATAAGACGTTGCTGCATCGAACTCACGAGGTGCATCTGGAACGAAACGGGAACTGCATACGTCTACGTTCTTCGACGTAACTTTTACTTGATTGAATCTGAACAAGGAAAGCTGGGTTCTTCGTGCATCTCAGTACTCTCGGTGATACGTCGAGACCGGGCCTTCTTCGTTTCTAATGAACCAGCGCATCTAACCACATACACATCACCGCCTCGAATGACTTAGTTCCGATCTCTCTGTAACATCATGCATCTACCAAGAAGGAGACGCGTGTACACACATCAAGTATGATGCATGCAATCAGTTGCCTGTAACACCGTGCCTGAGCAGCCAGAATGCGCGTCGCAGTTGACGAACCAGCAAGCCACAGCACCGCCACACGTGTCTTCTATCTGCACCATGACGGACGCCACGCCTCTGCGCCGTCATCCAAGATCAGCGGAGGGCCTTGGAAGATAGGAGACAGGTCTTAGCACCCATCAGGCACTGTGCCTGTCTGCCGATGCATCCGCGTTCTCGTCCCGCACGAACACCAAGAGTACGGCAGAGCGGAATTCTTGATTCTCAGTCGCCAAGCCCCAACAGGTACTTCCTCCTCCAAAACTATCTTCGTTATCAGCAGTTCATCGATGATCGGGTTGAGACTAGATTTCCAGATTGTCTTAACGCTGTCTTACAAACCGCCAAACCAATGCAGATGACATCAACATGCAATGAAAACCCAATAAAAATACATGGCTTTTTCCTAGCTTCTACCATATTGCAAGGCTCATCTTTTTTCGCATCAGCTCAAGCTACACAAGCATAGAATTTGCCTCACTCTATGTTCGATGAGTTCACCATACTGATATGCAAGGGTTGATAGAGGTATATTTGTTGAGAATCCGCGTGGCATGTTGCGCATTCCTTGCATCGCCTAGGCAAAATCATACTTGTTCAAGAAGCCCATAGACATGTAAGGATGCGGCATGTAACTTGGAACCCGCAACATTTCGCAAGACAGAATACTGCTGTAACGATGAGTCTACAGTGCATATCCTCTTAGACTCTGGGGCAGATGCCTCCCAGCTCATCCCCTCTTCGCCGCCGCCTCCTTCAACATATCAGCAATAGCATAATACGCCGGCTTCCTCTCCAGATTCTCATCCCACAAGCAAGCATTCCCATTACCCGGGAAAGACTCCGGCACCCAACTAACCGGATCCCAAAAATCCCAAACGGTGACTCCAACACAGCTCTCCTCATCGACACACGCACGCACGGAGTCCGCATAGATAGCCGCCTGCGCAGCCGTCTTGTTCGCATTATCGGGCAGCCCGATCCGAACATCCAATTCCGTCAGCGCAGTCTCTAGGCCCAAGGCAGAGAACAGCTGTTGCGAAGCCCGAACATCATCATAAGTTGGCGCTCTGCCTACGGTGAAATGCGCCTGTAGTCCTACACCATCGATTGGCACATCAGCGCGTTGATACTCGCTGATCATGCGTGCAACAGCCAGACTCTTGTTGTTCACCCTCTCAATCCCGTAGTCGTTGTAGTATAGTTTCGTGCCTGGACTTGTGTACTTTCTTGCAAGGCGGAACGTATGTTCAATGTACTCTGGGCCAATGACGTCGAGCCAGATGGACTTGCGCAGCGTGCCATCGTCTTCGAATGCTTCGTTTACAACATCCCAGGCGTAGCAGTCGTTCCAGTAGTAGTCTGCGACCGTTTTGATGTGTGTTTCCAGGACGGAGAGAAGGCTACTTTTGGTCCAGTTGCCGTTGTTCACCCAGTCGGGGAGTTGCTGGTGCCAGAGGAAGGTATGGCAGCGCCGCATTTGGTGCGCATCTTTGCTCGGGTCAACGATCTCGTCGCCGAGCGTCCAGTTGAAGACGTTGCGTTGGGGCTCTGTGTGTATCCATTTTTGGCCGTTGGACGGGGTAACTTGGTTGAATTCGGAGCGGTTGAAGGCTATCGAAGTGTACTCGTCATTATCGAGGACGACGTTGTCGATGGCGGTGCCAAAGTACTTTAGTCCAGCTTTCTTTGCGAGATCGCCGAGACCTGGAGCAGGTTTGGGATGGGAACCCTGTTTGGGGTGTGCATATATGGGGGCCGGTGTTGGAGAGGCGAGCACAAGCGGAAGGAGCAGCTGGAAAACGGAGGACTTCATCTTCGCGGTGATAGTGAGCCTACAGGTGGGAGGCGTAGCATATGTTATACGGAAGTGAAGTGCACATCACATCTTCTTCGGGTATTCCCCGCATTCGAGATTGCCATATTGCTCTATACAGCTCAGCATGCGGTCCGATTCCGAGACGGTCTGTCAAGACCCGGGCTTGGTATCTTCACTGCTCGTATACCATCATACCCATTGAAGATTTCTACTGGCGCTGTTGTAGCCAGACTTCTTCTGCAGAACTCGACGTAACGTCGGAAGTTAATTTTGTACTGCGATATGATGTGGCTTTCACGAACATAAGAGTATTAACACTGCGAAAGGCGACCTGGCTGTCTGGATCATGATGCGATTAACCGCGGGATTTCATGGTGTTCATTACGAGCTTGGTATGCCATTGGGTTGGATCCTGACACGGCCTGTGCGCATCTGGGGAAGAACCAGTCGACGCCAATTGGTGGAGTCATATCAGTACAGGCCGTCGTAAAAAGGTGTGGTCTTCGATTAGCAAGCTCGGCGCTGCAAGGTACGCGGAATGTTGAGATCAGGCTAAATGGAAGTCCGTTGGTTACGGCTGAATTATCCGGCGAACTCCCGCAGTGTCTGGAGTTGAATGTTCATATTGTCTCGTTCTATACTTTCCCTGTACTACCATAATCTTACGCGGCGGTGCGCTTAGGCGCTCATCGTTGTAGTTTTCCAACTCCATTGAAAACACCGGCCTCCTCTAATTCTTTCTCAGAAATCTTTGGCATGGGGCTGACGGCATCTGCACGTTTGAGTGCACTTTCGATGCTGCCCCAGAAGTCATCGAGATTAACGCCTCTAGGTATACGACAGCCACCTTGCCCGGTCGGTAGCTTGGTGACCTTTGTTCTACCAAGTTCACCAACTTTTGACTTGTCTGTCGAGTGAAGGCCTTCCGTGACTATATCCACTTGGAAGCGTTCGCCACCTTTGTCGTCGAATATGCTAGGATTGTAGGCTGCCGCTACAGCAAGAGGATCGTGTAACGGCGGTCCTTCGGTTATGGAGAACACTTCGGCGTACGTGCCAGCGAAGAAGGACATGATCTGGGTGAACAAGGCCCGCATAGCTGAGGGTGTGTAGTCACTCTTCGAGACTGACTGATCCCATATCTCTTCTCCATATAGCTGTGTTTGGCGGACTTTCTTCGTACCGAGGACTTGATGCGTCAGGTCGAGAGGGATCAGCGTCGTCTTTGATTTGAGAACGGGGTGCGAGAAGATGAAGTGAGATGCTTCGGGGTCACACTGTTGTTGTCAGCATTCTCTAGGCATGCGAAGGATCGATATCTTTACGTATATCTGTGCGAGTTGTTAGCCTTGTCGAACCACACCATGCACGTAGATGGCAGCATACGTTGAACTCAGCATAAGGCGTCCAATTGCCAAATCGTTCACCTTCTCCTTCAACTGTACCCATTGGCGCATCCGTGAAGCCGCCACCGACCGCACCTCCCATTATACTGAGGCCTCTGAGATGAGCCGCTAGATCTGTGTACTTCTGGAATAGCAGACCAATGTTGGTCAATGTGCCCGTAGAGACCAGCCAAGCTGTATTCGGGGGTGTAGCGATGAGCGCTCGGTACATGGCTTCGAGGTGGTCGACATCGGTAGCTGCTGGTTCGACGGGTTTGGGGAGCAGCGTCACGCCGTCTAGGCCAGACTCGCCTGTTCGTGTCAGCGCGTACTCATGAGGAGTGGATGGGGTCGCGTTACCATGAATATCAGCGGCGTGTACAGCATCGCGTATGATTGGCTTCGCAGCGCCCGAGTAGACCTTCACGTCGCGCCTTCCGATTGCCTCGAGGATTGCCCTGGTGTTGTACGTGGTTTGGTCGAGCGCAGCATTGCCATGGACTGTGCTCACACCAAGCAGCTCGACTTTGGGGTCGTGTGCGCAGAGAAGGAGGGCGTAGGCATCCTGGGGTGGTGATGAGCAGCGTGTGGGGGAGAGCTTATCCGAGACTCACATCATGCCCAGTATCCTTCCTTGGTCAGCACTACAAATAAGGAAAGCGCGAACGGATACACACGCAGTCGAGCCAGATCGGGGTCTTGGAAGAAGGGTTGCTCATAGTTCTATATGAGTCTACCAGTTGTGTGTCTATTTAGATGCAGCTTCAACTGCAGATACGTACCACATGCACTGCATGCACATGCAGGGTTGCAGGCGGGATGCTTGGTGGGGTTGCTGCACCGCTACTGGCTGAGGACCCAGGAACGCGCATCTCTATTTACGCCCATTCTCGTCGATGCTCGACTCTCATTCTACAAGACTGTGTTCACCGACGCGTCGAACAAGCGAGCGACGGCAGAAGGAACGTGTTCAGCTCGTGCTTTGAGCACGTTTCGATTGGCTGGCATCACTGGCGCCGTCAGCCCTGCATCAGCAAAGTCCGAATCCAAGTCTTGCACCGTTACAAGCACACGTATACAACACAACTCCTCAACATCACCGTCCAACACTTGGCCTTGTTTCCTTCGGTCGCTACGCATTCGTTCTATAATCTGCGCTGCAGGCAAACCTTTTCGATCCTCTTGATGAGGACTTGTACGCTGTGAAGCTTAGCTACTGCAAGGGTTATTCTTATCCGCGATACGCAGCATTGATAGTCCAGAAGGGGCTTTGAAATGGACCTCTTTCGGCGTCATAAAGGCCACCATGAGGTCAAGACAGATCAATACTGGGCACTTGGGTACTACTTTGAAAGCCTGAACGACGAGCAGAAACATCAACGCCGGGAATATCTGGAATGGTATGGATTCGTCGCACAATGGTCCGTCCTGGTCATATTTGCGCTCTTTCAGATTGGCTTCGCCTTTTCGTGGGTGATGAAAACCGGGTTGAAGATTGATCAGCCCAAATCACCGTCATTCACCAAACGGCCAAAGGACAGGCTCGGATGGCTGCGAAGCATACAGACCGGATGTAGCAGGATGAGCTGGTGGATGCGAAAGGATGTCATTCGGGGCTGGAACTGGGGCACAAGAGGAGAATGGATCGGAGCCAGCGTCTGGACAGTGTGGTTGCTGTATCTTTGCATTGCTCACACCGGGAACGGTATGGACTGAAGATCTCCGACGTTCGCGTCTACTACTGACAATATGTAGACTACCTCCATCTCACCAAGCGTTTCGGACAAGTTGGCGCGTCGCAGCTACCAATTCACTACTTACTGGCAGTGCGAGCACCATGGAGTCCTGTGCAATGGCTGACACGGCTTTCCCACGAGCAAATCAAGGCCTCGCATCAGATCCTGGGACGCATCACATTCCTGCTTTTCCTAATGCATACGGCCCTGTATTTGAACTTCTTTGTTCTATCAGGGTTTCTAGCAAAGCGCATTAAGGACTGGGACGTCATTTGGGGCCTTGTGAGCATCATCCTCTTCACCACCATCTCCACGACTGCCCTCGGATTCATACGCCGCAAGAACTATCGAGTGTTCTACATCTCTCATATCGCTATTGCAAATTTCATCGTCGTGCCCCTGTATCTGCACGTATCTCATATCCGCATCTACGTGTATGAGATTCTTGCGGTAGAGGCATTACATGTCATTTCCCGAGCTGTATGTCTGAAGATGTACCAAGGTACTCTCAGACTTCTGCCAGGCACCAATCTCGTCCAGGTCCGCATCCCGCTGCCGGCAGAAAGCGCCGCGCTTACTTGGAAGCCTGGCCAGCATGTGTACCTCAGCAGACCGCATATCAGGGGGAAAGCTCCTACGTGGTACGACCAATGGCTTATGACGAATAAGACGAACCCCTTCACGGTTGCTTCCCTCCCGTCAAAAGACAAGGAACTACTTCTCATTGCAAGAACGCTCAACGGCAACACCAAGTATCTGGGAGAACTGGCGCGCTCTTTGTCACAGGGGGGAAGCAATGTGCCCATGCTACCTACAGCTGGTGGTGACATTCCCATCCTGCCTTTCTCCCTCGAAGGACCATACGGAGCCTCCAACCGACTACCTGATTTATCAGACTTTGACAAAATACTTTTGGTAGCTGGCGGGGTTGGTGCAACGTTCATCATGCCCATCTATCGCAGCATCATCGACTTGCACGACCCCACACCTGCAGGTACCCAGATCCGGTGCATTTGGGCGGTTCAGAAGCTGGCTGAAACGCAGTGGGCATTCCCTGCAAGTTCCGCACCCAATGACGAGCACGAAGATGACGCAGCGGCCGATGCGAACGAGGGTGGTTTATTGCAAGGGCCGCAGATTGTCGAGGTCTACGTTACACGACCTTCGGGACCCAACCTGCAAGTCGACGCGAGCGCGGCTGGCGTGTTCGCTATTGACGACGACGAGGACGGGGAGGGGATTGAGATGCAAGAGAACGAGCAGCTGCTGAGCATGGAGGAGCAGATGGAGAAGCCGCGAAAGGGGATGCTTGTCAGAAGCGGAAGGCCGGATCTAAGTAACGTTGTCGATGAGGTGTTTAGCAAGGGTATGAAAACGGCGGTAATCTGCTGCGGGCCGAAGAGGCTGACGGACGATCTCAAGAGAAGCGTTGAGATTTGGGTTAAGAAGGGACACGACGTGTTTTGGTACGACGAGACGTTCGGCTGGTGATGGACAAGTTCATAGCAGGCGCATTTATGAGATCTGAGCTGCTCATCAGCCTTGCTCCTGCCGTCAACCCGGCAGTTGGGTATTGACAGTGGGTCGCATCGATCAAGCCTCTTCCCGCAAACCGGGATCTCCAACTTACACCACAATCTTCTCGTGCGAAGGTTTGGACATTCGATGAATACCTCGGGCTAGCCGTTAGATCGAATTCTAAACCGCTGACCGCCTCTGGACCACGCCCGATCTCCATGACGGCGGACTGTGGGCCGTTGCCGGAGGCTATCTTGTCAGGAACGGGAAAGGCGCAGGGAGACGGAAGCTTGTCAAGACAGTTGTGCACTGTTCAGGCTGTGTGCATAACAGGGAAACAATCAAACTGGGTTCATGG